ACTAAACAATGTGTATACATACATCCTTTTCTATTATGTTCTATGAATTCATGCGTACGGAGTGAAAGATCTAACAGTTACACCCATTGATATATTACATACAGTGAGAAGGGGAGACATACATAAAGAGATGGAGAGAGAGAGAGCAAGTGATAGAGACGATGAGTGATACTATTTCATTTTCATGATTCGAAATAATTTTCTATAAACCTAATATGGATTTGAACTACCACTTTATTTGTTTTTTTCTGGTTAAGGTTTAAACAATCAGCAATGCAAACAACTATCCAATAAAAACTTTTACCGTTCTCGACCAACACACGGATATAACACGTACCATCGTGCACAACAAGCATTGATATTCAAGCAAATGCAACAGATAACCTAGAACAATTGAATCACCGTCAAAAATATTATGAGATGCGCATAGCACAATTTCATCGTCGACATTCAGCCACAACACAACAAGTGGTTTGCTATGAGGAGACTCTATTACTTTGTGACACCTTATATAACCGACCAACTTGTTTAAAAACTATCAGAGACACGGGAAAACGCTCACGAAGCACGCATCGATATGACGTGGATGTCTATATTCTACATAATGGCTACGATCAAAATTTCACAAATTTAAAAAGGCGGACCCTTTGTTAGCACAGCTATGGCGGGGAACGCTTATTATGATCTGCACAATGATTATCTAAGTCATCCTGCTGTTGTCGATGCTCGCGAGCTCTAGATAGTATCTCGGCTAGATACCGATCACTTGCTTCGCTTGAGTCTATAATAAGACCTCTGCCTCCCAAGTGCAGCAAAACGTTGTCTTCGTACGGATGAAGTGCGACACATAGGCCCTCAGCTTGCTCCTTAGCGCTCGAGAGACTCCTTGATATATGCCTTCTTCCCGGTAGAAACCTCCATGGTATATAGGTGGCAATCCAGGATTCCAGCTCAATGGCATGGGTGGCAGTCCAGGATTCCAATGACTCGTTGCAGTATGCCTAGAAGCAAGCAAGAAAAGCAGCCACCATTTGTTGAATTGTACGAGTTCGAAAACTTGGATGATGTCCAGTTTATCCATCGGTGCAGCAACACAAAGGAGGATGCCGTCGGAAGGAACGTATTAAACTTTATCAAGTGTGGAATGGTCTTAAGCCGTTTGTATGTGACAATTGTATACTTGATAGCGATATATATATAATAGATGTGGAGTAGGTGGATAGCGTAAGCTCATTCCATTGGAAGGTTGTCAACGTTGGGACAATTTACATAAATTACGGGGGTCGATAAACAGTAGACACCTATCAAATATGTAGGACTGCCAAGCATTTATTTACTAAGAAGATGTTGACGAGGAGGTTTATTTTTCAGCAAATATATCATGAACATAAAGTGTGTCATGAGTAGGCAATCGGATCTTGTACAAGAGTACAAAACAACACGTCATAGTTAATTGTATATTGGGGCATAGGCGGTCATCAAAGCATTGTGTTGCGTAAAGGACGTAAATAAATAATATAACGTTGTCATTGGACCTCACTCCACTGCTTTAGAAATGTGCAAAATGACAATGGATCTTCCGGTATAACTTGGAAAGATATGCTGTCATATTTTCCTTTTTTCCTGGATGTGAGCAGTAGTGAACCGAGGTCCATCGTTCGAACAGTGTTGCCAAATTCAACTGAGCCGGTCTAAAAATAAATGCAGACCTGTGCAACTGTACCAAAACTTTTGCGGCCACGGGCCAAAACCGAATAAAAAATGTCACGCTTGCATCAGAGCTTGGCGAAGAATGGGGACTTTATGCTCATGAACTTTGTCTGACATTTATTGGTGCCTTAATATATAAATAAGTGAAGGTCACACCCACTTAATATTATACCTGCTGCATGGCATTGTGCTTCCAACATATGTTAGGATGGGCTGTACTACGTTGACATATGCGATTAGGTCTCTGCACAAACATCGAACACTCGTGCAACTGAATCAAAGCAGTTGGCGGCGCATGCCAAAAGAAAAACAAAAATGCCACACTCACATTCCGGCAAAGCTTGGTGCGCAGCGGAACCCTCCTGGTCCCTCCTCCTTTAAATAGTATGTGTTTATTTTATTTTACATTAGTACCCCTTACTTACGCGGGCGAAGCTGCACTGGCCCGTCTTGTTATTATTATTATTTTTGCTGTTTGTCTCGCAAAGTGCGCTCTTTTAGTTCATAGTTATGTGACAATATATAAATATATATGTGACGATATATATGTGACGATATATATGTGACGATATATATATTGTCACATAACTATGAACTAAATATATATTTGTTGTCCTCTTCTCCCTCTTTGCCTACGGTTTACCGGGCAGCTCTGTTTGACTATATATACTACGACTTCGCTAGCACCCTGCTACGGTATTCTCCGGTCAGGTCGAGCGGCAGTGGTCGGGGCCGTCACTACGCGGCCATGCTGTGCCTCTAGTGCCAGCAGCGTGTCTGGAGTGTATTTTTTGGCTGTGACAGACCTTTCTTTGTTTCGTGGGTGTTTTGCTTGCCTGTGATGGGGTGTGAACCTACAGTCTGTAGAGTTTTCCATCTGGTGTGGGTGAGTGATAGTCTGCTTTGACTTTTGCCACAGGTACCTTGAGGGTAGTGGTTGGTGCCCACCTC